TGAGGGCCTTCTTCGGAGAAATCACACTGAGAAGCCAGGTTGATTCCCAGTAGGCCTCTTGTTTGAGTGAGAGATTACTATCCTGTTTGTAGTTGAGCAAACTGAGGCTCGGAGTAGTAGAGTGACTTGCCCAAGTCAAGTAGCCAAGGAAATCTGTCTGGGCCCAAAGCCTGCACTTTATCCAATTCCCAATGTGCTGCCTCTATACACACTAGGGCCTATGATCCAGGTTGGGGCTTCTGGAGAAAAACAGCCTCCCTTCTTTCTCCACCCTCTTTACTTCCCTATCTCCAAGAGGAGTCTGTCCCCAGATCATTCTAAAAGATTCCTGGCCCATCCAAAAATATAATCCTCAAAGAAGCAAGATTTGTCTTCCAAGCACACATACACACATGTGTTTTCAGCTCACGTATACTCAGTAGTGTCATACCTTCAGACACCCTGTCTCACAGGCACTCACACGCCCTCCCTCATTTACAGAAAGAACCCACTCACAGTTCTTTAGGGTACTTATGGTAGGTGGTGACTAAGACATTGAAGGCCTGCACTTCAGTGACTGTCAAAAATATGTGAGTGCCATTGCCCTGACAGAACTTCTTCCAGCCAGACCATTCTCGGTTTCCAGGCAAGGGGCATCTGAGGCTTGATCCCCACCCTCAACCAAAATCACCCTATAGGTTCAAGGAGAAAACCCCAAGCTATCGGTCAGAATCCCAGTTTAGCTGGATGTCTTTGGCAAGTCATTTATTTATCTCTTTTTACTTTCTTATCTGTAAACTAAGAATAGGAATACCTACTGCAGTGGGCTGTAAGATTAAAAATAAAATATGCTTAGCATTTAGTCAAGAGTTCTCAGACCTTTTTCTCCTTAATCCTGTTGCCACACCCTCTTCACCCGCCTGGCCATTCAAATGCAAAGTCACTTTCTGGTGCTGCAGTCAGAGATAAGAAGCCAGGACAGGCCCAAAGGACCCAACAACCCCACTGTGTGAAGAAACTCCATTTCTCAAGCAACCAGCTGGCTTAGGGTGTACATATTCCATACTTCTGGTTTCTGGGTGGCTTTGGAGGCTTGGAATCTTTTAGTGGATTTTAAGACTGCTACGCACTGCCTTGAAGTGTCTTCCCCTTACTGACCATTAATTTACCCTCTGGGTCACTTCTAGCCCAAATCTAGAAAACAGAAAAAACAATATGTTCCCCAGTTTACTGGACTTTATTTTCAAAGTGCTTCCTTTTGTCTATCAGTTGCTTCTTGATTTTTTAAAGCAGCGGGTTCCATTGTTCAAATGAAATCTTTGAATCAGAGGCCTAAGTAAGAGAGAAAGGTGGGCCTTGCTTTGGTAAAGTGGGGACAGCCCAAGCATTGTTGTCTCCTCCCTGTCAGCCCATGAAGACCACTAGTGAACTTACATTTCCAAATCCTGTTTGTTCATTCCAGCCACTCCCTATCTCTTACCAGTCTGTGAGAACATAGCCTGGCCTTGTTGGTTTCCTTTATTATTCAAAATCTTTCACAGGCTTTTCTTCCTCCATCCTCTCCTGAATGTTGGTGGCTCCCAAGGGTCTCTTCTCTTATTGTCTTCTTCAATCTTCTGTTCTCATCCACTTCCAAGGATCCTAGCTTCTATCTAAACTAAGCCCCCAACTGACATCTCTGGCCCAGAATATGCCTTGAACATTAGACTCCGGATGTTCACTGGCTGCTGGCCACATAATAAGGTATCCATTAAAGGTCAAGTAAGTAAAACAGAGACCCCACAGATGAACTGGCTGACCTAGGCTCAGCCATGCATCTGGCCAGTCATGAAGTTTGGACAACTACATTAACTTAGAGAAGCAGCCAGGTTTTGATGTGGGATGAGGGAGAGAAGGAAGTCAATCTGGAGTAGGGGAGGAGCACTGTACCTTTTTTGACTATTTGTTGTCTACATCTGTCTTGCTTTCCTACTTTCATCTTCATCTCATCCTAACTAACAGGAACATATTACCTTAAATTGTTGAAAAACTCAGTGTCCATCCAACACTCCTAGCTAAGATTCTGGTGTAATTAGTCTACCTCGGTCCTTGCCAGAAAAAATATGGGTATTTAAGACTGCAGCATGCAGACTTAGCTTAAACGGAAGGATTTTACAAAAGCTATGGTGACAGATGGAGAGAGGTTAAACATTGCAACAGGTTTTTGAGTGCTAGATTTCTATTTGTGAAGATCCAGTCTTCTCTATGGTTAAGAGTAGTGTAGTTGAAGACACTTAATACTCACAACTGTTGTGATAACTATAGGGCAGATATCTCCCAAGAGAAAATCTGTTTCTCAAGCTGGTGGGAGTCTTACTTCCTGACATTGGTAAGCTAACAGTGGTCTGTGGGTAGTGACCAACACCTGTGACAAATCTTAAGACCTTGGCTGGGAGCTCTGGGTCCTTAGTCAGTTCATTCCATGTTTCTGAGTCACTGAGGCTTTAAAACATAAAAGCCTTAAAGGCCTATGGGTTTGTTGGTTGATTATAAGGAAGACTTGACCTGCTTTCCAAGTTGGGGGACAAGTAGGAAGGGAATACAGGAAAGTGACAGCAGCTTGAAAGCGACTTTGAAAACAAGCTAAAACTGGAGATTCCAAGTGGGAGCTGACCCAACTGGAGAAGAGCTTTATGGTTCCTCTGCAGGCACACTGTCCAACAAAGGACTAGAGGCTTAAGAGTTGGAGGGCCTATAGTACAATCATCTAATGCAGCCCTTTATTTCACAAAAGGAAGTTAGAACTTAGCTTGGGTTGAGTGGTGAGACCTCAAAATTACTGAAGAGTTCAGTCACTCTAGGAAGGCTTTTCTACCTGGTCCATCTCCCTCCAGGTCTGATTTGTGAATTTCCCTATGTGTAACTGGTTGTCTCTAGAGAAGGAAAGCCTTTATAGGCAAGAGTCCCATCTTCCTCAAGCTATGATGCTAAAATAGTCCAGTGTCCCAAGAACCAGTCCCGTTCTGTCATTTACCTGCAAATGGTGACATGGAGATTGACAATGGTGGGCCTCCAAGGTTGAGGATGCTGGGGAACCCTTCACCTCAAGAGTCCTATCCTAGCTGACAGGGATGGGCAGGATGAGTGGACCAATGCTAGAGGGAGTAAAGCAGGTAAAAAAACAGCAGTCAAATTAAAAGTACAAGCCTGAGTTAGCCCACAATGCTCTCTCTCCCCTGAATACTTTTTCTCCATCTTATGTTCTCAGTGGTACACTCCAGCATTTGACTGGGTTCTCTTGCTTTGTTTACCAAATATCCTGTGTGAAAGCCTTGACTTCCTGAACAGATTAGGGGCTTCTTCTGTCTTCCCCTTTCTTTATCTCCTTTAACACCTAGCACAGGTAGGCTCACACTGAGTATTATCTTGCCAATGGTAAAAGCTATAAGTAAACTATAGCAGGGGTGGGGGAGGTGAGGGGAGAGCTATTGATCCTTTTCTCTTAGATTTGGAAGATATCAATTTGCTAACCTTCCTGAATCAGGAACATGGACAAACACAATGCTTCTGAAAGCTAGCTCATTCTGTCACTCACTTAACCACGTACTGGGTAGGATCCTGGAATTTGCATCTTTATGGAGCTCTTATAAGTGATAACCTCAATCAGATGTGCCATGAGGAACTCATGCTTGTAACGTCTGAATTTAGAGCAATGGGTTACAACCTCTTCAAGTAAATGACAGTTCAAGTCTACCTTTTCCAGATCTTTTACTATTAATCCTGTTTCCTATGTATTTCTCCAACCCCCTAACATCTCTGACTTTCCAGATTTCAAGTATCTCTGTTCACTTCTTATGCTTGCTTGCCCCCAAGATAATAGAGGCTCATCCAGAGAAAGGACTGGTTTAATCTTTTGCTGTACACTTCAGCGCTTGATTAAGTTAAGAAACTCAAGAAAAATTTGTTAGCAGATCAGGAGATGAATCCTTACAGGGAGTCTAGTGTAGTAGTTAACATTAACAGCAGGAACTTTGGAGTCAGATGGTTTGGGTTCTTGGCAGTGGCAAATTAATTTTCCTGTGCTTCAGTTTTTTTGTTCTGTCAATACTTACCTCAAAAGGTTGTTCTGAAAGTGAATGAAATACCTAGAAAGCACTTTAAACAGTACCTGGAACAGAGTAAGCACTCAGTAAATGTTAGCTGCTATCACTTTTAAGAACACCCCAATATCTGTACCAACTCCAAGCCAGAACAGTCCCCCAACTAGGCAGGCTGTCACTGGTAAATAGGGAGCAGCTACATCGCCATGGGGAGTGGTCCTACATGGACAAAGCTTCTGGTTCCATTCTGAGATGCAAATGACTCAAGATCTTCCCACAAAGCCCAGTGTACCCATAGGTATGGAGTTTCCCTGGGAGAATCACCACTTTGGTACTCTGCAGACCTGAAGATCCTACACTCTAGGAGGTCCTATCTGGGAGAATCAGTCACCAACTCTGTCACCCTTCTAGTCTACTACATGCATCATGGGCTTATGATCAATTACTTGGAATTTTAAGAACTGTTTATACTCAGAGAGAGCTACAAAAAAACCCTCTGGTTTCCAAAAACAAAACTTTGTCTTGATCTTTGCGAGACAGGAATGCAGTGAAGAAGCCAAAGGCTTTGCTTTCTAAGCAGACCAACTTGAGCTCCAGTTTTAGAGCAAATCACTATAATACTCTGGATCTTACCTGCCTTATCTGTAGAGAAACAGAATGGAGGGAGAATAATTTCTAACTGAATTATTGTGAAGTTTGAATGAGGTAATGGGGGGAAAGCACCAAGCATAAAGATTGGTACCCAAGCAATTAACTGGTGTTGGTTTCTTATTTCTGCTCAGAGCTAATGGCCTACAGAAAATATGGGTGGCTCTCAGACCTGAAAGTCTCAGATACTGAGGCCTTGGGTCCCTCCCTGCCTCCCCATCCCTCCCAGACCAGATCTGGACACCCTCCTCACCTTCCCAGCCCCACACTGCTACCAAATTAATGAAGCTAATAGGGTTTGATCATGTTGGTATATTTATATGTAAATACAAAACTGTATCGGTGTAAGATATTGAATATGAACATTTACAATTATTTTCTGAATCTGACTCAGTCCATTGACATTAAATACAAAATGAAAAGATTGTAAAAATAAGAACATATACATTCAAAGAGCTTATTACAGTATAAAATTATTGAGGTCTGATCAGCTAGCTGCCAACCTCATCTGTGATAGGGGAATGTTTAAGGGTTCCTGGGATTTTTTGGGAGGGGGAATGTAGAGTGCTAGGGACTCTTGATTCCATCCCTGGCATATCAGGCTGGGTAGGATGGGAGCAGACAGGGACAGGTTGAGTGAATGGGGAGAAAATAGTAATTACAGGGGACTGCCTCACCCAGTCAGGAGTTAAGCTTTTTATTAACACAAAACTTGAGCTCCAGGGTCTGGCAAGCTAATAGGCAGAAAAAGATGGGCATCTGAGTCAACAGGGCCAAGATGCATAAGGAAAGGAATCTTCCAGCAAAAGAAAAATGGGCCCCCAACTCATTCTTCCAGGGAGAGCTTCTCATAGTAGTCTCCTCCCTCTCATACCTGAGCTCCTTCTTTTTCCTTCTAGGACAGTGTACCGATTACTTTTGGCTCTGGCTGCTCAGTGAGTTCATCTCTACCCCCAGACCCCAATCCCTAAGTGATAGCGAGAAGAAAGAGAGGGTCTGGAATCACAGTGGAGGTCTATTTGCAAAATCGGCAAAGTAAACAAAGGAAAATCATTAGGTAATGGCAACCCATGCTGTATTAAACCAGTGTCACCACAAACCAGTATTCTTGGCTCTAACAGGCAGCATCCTGGAGAGAGCTAAGTCATTATGTAAGGATGAGGGCCTGTGGCAGGAGCATGGAGAATGGATGTGTGTGTGTCCTCTTCCACCACTCTGCGGTCTAACAACGGGAGACATGCACTAGTCCAGGATAAAAGGGAGGGTCCAAGAAGCAATGACTCCTGAATTGCAACACGGAACCCCAGGAACTTCTACAAAGGAATAACTCTGTGTATATGTATTTATAGAATACAACCATATTATCACATACAATATATATTATAACACACATACATGTGGACCCATACACTTAAGTGCACATACACACACACACACACACAGAAATACAGAAAAGACTGGAATACACGCCCTAGGTATAAACGTGCTTGGCACTCGGGACGTTTTCTAGAATATGTAACTTGGTCAAGCTTTCTGGGAAGGAAGGTGGATGCTCACCAAACCTCCCCATCAAATCCTAGCAAAGGGAAGGAATGAGAAAGAGACCTCCAGAAAGAGAATGGCATTGGGAAAGGGGGGAGTTCCTTCCCCACTTACCTTAGGGCCCCTGGCAAAAATCAATAGCCACAATTTGGTTTTAATAAGGCACAGTTCGATAGCAGGTGCTAGGAATTAAGAACACATTGCTGCGGCCCTTTCTAGTGACAATTTCACCATATCTATCTAGCCAAAGGGAAAGGCTGCCTTGCGTGCACCGGGAGACACAAGAGGTTGGTCCATGGCTTCAGCGTAACTGATGGCAACCTATAGGCTCAGCGATGTCCAGGGTGGTTTAAAGGAAGGCTGGCCAGCATGTAGGAGGCTCATGGGACAGTTACTGACCCTCCATGGCCAGGAGGTTGTGGCTGGAGGACACCATGCCCTCCCTCTCTGCGAACTCCAGGATTGCCTTGTAGCAAAAATAGTACTGCTCAGGGGTCTGGATGCTGAAGGCCCTCTGGGTCCTCATGCGGGACACCGTCTGGAACACATTAAGGGTACCAAGCTCCTCCAGCTGTGCCAGGCAGATGTCCAATGAGCAGAAGGTACCTGAAGGAAGGAAGGAAGTGGTCATACCTGATCTATCTCTCCTCTCCCCTCCCTCTACCAAATAACCCAGGCAGGACTGGATAACTGAATTCAAAGGCAAGGGACCTCAGGCCTGAAAAGACTCAAGGAGGAGTGCACAGTGAGTGCCAGAGTCCAGAGAAATGAGAAGGCCTTTTGTCTTTCAGGATGTATATGGAAGTAACAGGAACAGTAGGTGGGAAGGTGACAATCCTAGATAGGACAGCACTCCCACACTGGGCTCTATAACTTCTCCGTAGAGATCTAATAATACAACCATATTCTTCCTGACCTTCTCCAAAAGGGACCTCTGACTAGAAAGGCCAGTGGTCCCTGTAATGCACACCCCCTTAAGGCAAAAGCTGCTAACTGGCTCCAGAATGGAGAGCACAGAACAGGGTGGAGATGTCCCCAAGGAGGGGGATGAGAAGGAAGCAAAAGCCCAGCTGAGCTCTCTGGGACACCCAGGTGACAGTGATGGGTTCAGAAAATAATCATGCTGATGGGATGTATAAAGCATCCCCCAGAGGATATGGCTTGTGAGTGTATATTCTGGCCAGCATACTTAGCACTAGGAATACCAAAAGGACATTAAAGAAGAATTTTTCATGGCAATTCAGCACCAATGGATTAAATTTTCCCAATCTGGCAACAAAGAGCTTGTTATCTCTCCTTCACCATTACTGCCTCTGGAGGCTCCGAGAGCTGCACCAGGTGTATTACCTGTCCTGCCAATGCCTGCACTGCAATGGACCACAATGGGTGGCTCAGGGCACTGCCCTTTGGGACGCACTCCCGTACTGCTGACAGCCAGCCGCTGCTGGCTCCTGACCGCTCTCAAGAAGTCAATGAGGGAAGCTGCTGAGGAGGGGACACCATAATCTGGCCAGCTCAGGAACTGAAAGTGGGTCACCTGACGTTTCTGCCGCTCCTTGGACAGAAAAAGAAGCAAAAGTTAGTGAGGTCACTTCTGCTAACTACCTTAGGCTTTTCTAGTTCTCAAGCCCCTGGGATCTCTACTATCAAGGTTCCTGCCTAGTACTCTCAACTTTCTCTACAACTGCTTCTCTACAAACCCGAAGGAAAGGTTAAAGGTCTGCAGAAGGCAGAATTCCTATTTGTAGGACCCAGTTTTATTCATAAGTAATGCCACTGTGGTGTTGAAGTAATATGGCTCTATTGGCTTTGATTTGACTATCCTGATCCTGTTCCCAGAATAATGGAAGCAACTTTCAAGTTCCCTGGAATCCTGCCTATTCTCTTTAGAGATTTTCTTTACAGTAAAGAGTCTCCCCTAGCTTCAAAAATGAGAAAATAGAAACCTGGATTTACCTCTGTGTTATGAATTTCTAGCGTTGTTTTCTTGTAATGGTTCATGTCCTCCACGCCTAGATTGGTCACTGTGAGGAAGCCAAATCGGATCCGAGAGTCTTTTTCTAAAGGCCAATACTGGCCACACTTCCTCCTGCCGCCCTCCTCAAAGCTGAAGACACACAGAGCAAGGTAAGCATTCCATCCTTCCTCTCCACAGCACTAACCCTGCCCTCTCCAGGACCTGCTGTACCCCTAGGCAGCAACATCATCTCTTGAATTGCTCTTGTCTAATAATACTCTTGCTTCTTGAAAGAAAGGGAAGGAAACCTTCATTCTAAACAACGGCTAAAGTTTCTGCATGTACTCATTTAGCAGACATTTACTGAGCACCTGCTATATCATTTGGCCCCTTTCCTGATACCTCTTGGCACTCCTCACATATCTGGGATAAATACTAGGTGGACAAAGAAAGATAGTAAAGAAAATGGGGTGGGCCAGATTGAACTCTCTGCCGTGTATCTCAGTCACTGTTCATTCTTTTCCCCAATAAGGGCCCTTGGTTGATAGAGGAGTAGGAAAGGCACAGCTCCTGAGATACCAGCAGGTTTGTGTAAAGGCCTAAAGTCCACCTCACTAGTCTTCAGTGGCTCCAAAGTACTCCAAGGTGGTACTTCTTTCACGATCTTTCTCCAAATCAAAGATGGCTGTAACAGTGCCACGAGAAAGGGAACTGGGCTAACACTCTCGTTAATTTATTTCTCCTCATCTGATGATGAGGACAGTAGTAATACTAATGGAATAATAACTCCTGAAGTTTTGGCAGATATGTGACAAAATTTTCAAAAATATTCCTTTTAATAAGAGCTTCCTGCCTAAATGAGCAAAAAATGCTAGAAAGTAACAGGGCAAGGAAGAGCAAAGAGGAACTGTGGTGATTCAGACACCAGGAAGACAGCTGCCCTTTGGATATATGGACCAGATTAACAGTGAATTGCTCATGTTTCCTAATACTTCCTTAAGTGGATGAGGCCAGGACCTAAGAATAGGCTGCAACTGGAATAGGGTCACCAGAGCACCATGGATTAATTGACAAGTTAGATCTATCAATCTCCACCATACCCTGGCTGTGTTAACTTTGGGTCAGCTAAGAAAAAGCAAAAACAGCTCAAATTGTTTGCCACGGCCTTCCTAACCCTCATTATTTCTAAAAGCTAAACTCTACTCTTTTGAATCACCCATGCTTAGGGACAGGGTAGGAGCAGAGTGTGAGAAGAAAAGAGATAAACTCACCGAGTGGTCATGACAATCACCAAAACTTTTTGCTCCCATACCATAAGCCAGAAATCACGATAGGTATTCTCCAAAGGGCCTGGAATGAAAGGAGAAGACAAGGTACATGACCCTGGGAAGTATTTCTTTTCTTTTTAGGCTCTTTAGTTTTTCTCCCAACTACTAACTCCAAAGCACAGATGCTGGCTCTCTGCTCTTCTCGCTATATCATTGCTATTCAGCGTGGCCCCTTGAACCACCAGCACCAGCATCATATGTGAGAGTTTTAGAAATGCACATCTGCATTTTAACAAGATCCTCAGATGAAATTGTAGGTAGGTTACAGTTTGAGAAGCACTGTTAGAGATAATCTCTCAAAGCCTTAACATTAGGGCTTCAGCTATCACTTCCAGACTGCCAACAGTATACACATCTCTAGCTGTTTTCATCTCATCTAAGCCTTATAATACACCAGTTGCCTACTGAACCATTCCCTTTCTGTGTCCCATCATCTTCTCAGATCCAACATGTTTGCAAGTCAGTCTCCTCCCTCAAAACTAGCTTGCTTTCTCTACTTTCCCATCTCTGTTAATAGTACTGGCATTCTTCAATCATTCAGTCTTAAAGAGTTGTCAGTCAATTCTGACTTTCCCATTTTCTTTATCTCATAGAATCAGTTACCAAGTCCCAGAGATTTTTTGCCTTTGAATTGTTTTTGGTTTTTATCCTTTGCCCCCATCCCGATCTCCCTGCCCAATTTCACTGCCATGAGGACGACATCAGCTTTTGTCTGAGCTAATGTGCTACCATTTTGGCTTACTTTTCTAAACAAAGCTCTCTCTTCCAATCTATTCTGGATACTCTGGCCAGTTTAATCTTTCCAAAAAACTGATTCATCTACTTCTATTCCTTTGCTCAAGCTGTCTCTCTCACCTCTAAGGCTGTTCACTTTCTACCCATTTTCAAGTGCTGCCTTTCTTGAAGCTTTCTCTGACCACCACATTCCTTGTAGATCTTCCTCTGCTCTCAGATCTTGATGGCACAACTGGATGAGAACACCTTAACCATTTACTATATATGGTCTTACATCAGTCATTTTACTTTGTGAGAATTACTCATGTCTCAGCAAACATGGGGCTGAGGGCAAAGGCCATGTCATCGAATTCT